CTACGAATGCATCATTTAAAGTACATAGATCCAAAACCCAGAATTCAAAATATAACAGAAATCAAAATAAACAGCTACAAAAGGATTTTCAAATCTGTAGATCTTATAGGTCTTGAGATCGATTCGTTAAATCGCTAAAGCTTACCGGATTGTTCATACTACATATACGTATTTATGTTATCTGCCACGCCTCCTCCGGCATGTTACATATATCGTAGAGAAACCAATATACCCTAATTTCCCAATTTCAATGATTATAAAGGGTATGCCGAGAAACAGAGGCGAATCTGTCTTGTTCTAAGAGCATTAGTGTCTATGGATAAATCGATTCGTTGTATACATTTCCATTCCATATTTCTTTGTTCATTTGCAGGTTACCTCCCGACTGGACTTTATTTGGAAGGAGCAAGCGGAACGAGAGCTGAGCAACATGAAATCGAATCGTGCTCTTAATGACACATTAATTAAGGTAACAGTTGCTCAGTCCCCCTCCCTCAGCACACTCCCCGTGATTACTCATTAATTAAATGCTTGATTTAAATGCTGTCGCAGAACGTTTTGCCGGACCACGTGGCCGAGTACTACCTGTCCGACGAGCATACGGACGAGCTCTATTCCAAGATGCATAATCTGTGCGGCGTTATGTTTGCCTCCATACCCAACTTCCAGGACTTCTACTCGGAGGACATCGACAATGGCAAGGCGTGTATACGCATTCTAAATGAGATTATCTGTGAGTTGATTGATTAAATCCAAATGTCCAAATGGCTAATGACGCCCGGCTCACCCGCTCTTCCGCTTCCGCTTCCCCCTCCCAGGTGACTTTGATGAATTGCTGGAGGAGCCACGCTTTGCATCCGTCGAGAAAATTAAAACAGTGGGCGCCACCTATATGGCTGCAGCTGGACTCAATCACGAGCACTTGCGCCTTCGCGGAGAAACGCCCGAGGACAGCGTGTGCGACCTGGTGGAGTTTGCGTTCGCCATGAAGAAGAAGCTGGAGGAGATCAACGGCGACGCGTTCAACAACTTCCAGCTGCGTGTCGGCATCTGCAGCGGACCTCTGGTCAGTGGCGTGATTGGAGCACGCAAGCCCGTCTACGACATCTGGGGCAACACGGTGAACGTGGCCTCACGCATGGACTCCACGGGCGAGAACTGGCGCGTCCAGGTGCCAGCCAATACGGCGGAGTTTCTCTGCTCACGCGGCTATACGTGTGTGGTAAATACTGAACTGTTGTTGCGCTAAAGGTGGCGCAAATAATTGATTCTTCTCGGTGATCTGCAGAAACGCGGAGAGATTAACGTCAAGGGCAAGGGCATGATGACCACCTACTATGTGCATCCGAAGGGCATCTCGGACAGCCAACTGATCTCACCTGTGCGCATGCCGGCGGGCATCCCTCTCGCCCAGACGCCCAATCTGCAGCGACAGACCTCGCATCATGGCTCCTTCAGTGCGGTTGTCTTCGGCATGATGCAGGCCACCAAACGCAGCACCGCAATACCCGGCACACGTGAGTACCATGCAGACCAAGAGAGCGAGCAAGAGAGAGAAACAGCGAATGTCTTCATATAACTAAGAAACACGAGTTTATTTGCTCTTTAATCTTTACCAACCAACTAACTCTCCTTCCAGCTACCGGTACGCCCTCTCCGCAAATACGTCGGGGTCACCGGGGCAGCACCTTCAGTTCGGTGCGTCTGTCGCAAAAGTCGACGACTGTTAATCCAGTGCGACGTAACACAACCCGAGTGCGAGGACGATCCTATCGACAGAAAAAGGTATTACTGTTTGATCAAGCCAATTTCCAATTGCATCTATATCTCTCGCTCTCTTCCTCTCATCCTCTTCCCGCAGAGCTCGTCGAACAATTCAATAGTCACGCAGGCCAGCTCCACCTATATGCCCTCATTCCGGCGGATCGATCAGATCGAGACGACTATCTCGAAAAGCCACAATGATGCTTTATAGCCTAGCATGCGCACCAATTGGGTTTAAGGATCATCAATTGCCAAACACTACTGTAGATTTAATTCCAGTATTCGAGTTTTTAGTCGACCTAGCTACCGGAACTGGTGTCCTAATAGATATAACAACTATTTAATTACCATACAGATCTAAGTCCGTAGAGATCAATGTTGCTAGCCAGTCTATATTTGTAATATATGTATGTATGCATTAGCTAATTGTATAACATTATCTCAGCACAAGTCTAGTCGTATATATAAACACATATATAAACTATATACACATAATGAGATACGATTTTTGTTTGTTCTTCTATGTACATTTTCTCTATAAGGAGTCAACGATCTTTTCTTAAATATCTACCAAAAAAATTTATCTATAAATATATTATCACGATAAGGTAAACTTTGACTTAGCGTAATTTAATTAGAATGGCTAAAAGAAAATCTCTTTTAACAATCATAAGTAAAACGATGATCAAATTTTTCAATTACTGTACAAATAATATACCCTCGATTTCACTAGGCCAATATCTATTTAAATAAAGCACTTAAATATACAAAACTAAAATTTCATATATCAAAAAATCCATAATTTAGTGATTTTATGTGTAAACGCCAATAAATTTGTAGATAAGCGATCCGAAAACCACACACACAAATCTTAAAAAACTAATGTAAAAATAATAAAAGCCCACATATGAATATATATGTACCTAAATTTGAAAATTGATGTATTCACCAGAGTGTAATTAAATAAAAGTTACAGAAATAAATGTGATAAATGAAACAAAATCTCAGGGAAATGGAGTTTTGAACAAAACAGCGGAAGCCAAAGAAAATGACCAGACGAACAGTCCCAAACACATATCGAAAACATCAAATATATGCCTAATAAATGAATGAGAGATGAAACCAGTTAAATGATGTATAAATAGTGAATGCTTCACTAAGGTATACCATGTACCGTAAAAAAAATGTTCGAAGGTTCATATTTACGTAGAGTCACATATTCACTCAAGTATTGTTGATCGATACTTATTGAGAGCATGAAATCGATAACAATAGATATAGCTACACATTAAATCATAATACCCCTCTTTAGCCCATACAAAGGGTATCAAAAGAAAACCGAAAATGACGCCAACACTCATCGAAATAAATGCAGCTACAATAACAAGACAAACCAACAGAAAACTCTATTTTTATCACAGATGCAGACGAATGCACCTTGGAACGAACAGCGGGCAAAAGGAAGGCGAAAGCAACTGGACGGACAGCTGGGCGCCGGAGCACTTGACGAGCAGACGGTCCGGTCCAACTTCCCACGTTGGTTACGTTTCGTTAAGCGAAATGATGAAAATGCAAATGACATTCGTACGCACGAACTTCAGTTAGCAACTAGAAGGGTACACTATAAAATGCCCTAAATACGAATACGCTACATATACATACATATATATATGTGCATGCAAGGTAAATAATTTCAAATGTGTGTATATTGATCATTTAAGGGTATGTTTATTCGTATGTTATTTAAATAATGTTTATATACTTGAATTTTATTTACTGGCATTCATTACGCCTGTATTATTATTAATACAAGTCGAGCATGCCATGCACAAGCCTGTGTTGAGTATAGGGCATGTACACATACGGAAACGAGAACAACAAAATCATCGCAGACAAATGCCGATGCAGCAACCACTTGTGCACTTCCACTTATTGGCGGCGCCGGCAACGCCTAATGTGAATGTGTGCGGTAGTTGATAAGACACAGTTGTTGTTGTTGTTGCTATTGTTGCTGTGATGCGTGTGCGGTTCAGAGAGCAGAAGCAGCAGCGGCTACAGCAAATGCGTGGAACAAAACAAACAATGAATGAATGCGAGTAAATTTTTAATTTCAGCCTGTTGTTTTGTGTCGTAAACGTAGATTACCGGTTTCTTGGCCTCTGAACCGAAACACCCACCTAAAATAAAAATACCCTACATGTGAAAAGGTAAGGATCATGAGGAGACTATTCAGATTTCAGATTATTACATAATTAGAAACTTTATATATTATTCATATGCATATTAATAAATATCTTCGCATTTTCAAGTGGATTACTGTATAAAATATATATATTTACATATAAATATATTAATTTTTTTTTTTTAAATTATATAGGTAATTCTCACAATGTAATTTGTAAGCATTAATAGAATTATATTTATGTATGTATGCGTATGTAGGGTACTCAGCACAACAATATGCCCGAACTTTCCCGGAACTCGATTTGCTTCCGCTTGGCGCTAAAGCAACATGTGTGCATCAGAGCGGCTTTGCTTGAATGTGTGCCTCAATGTTCGTCTATACATGAGCGTATATACATATGTATGCGTTTGCCGGCGCAACCCCTGTTGCTAGGCATTCCAATTTCATTCATAAATGTTAGGCTGGCAACAAGTAATTTACATTTTCTTAGCGCTGGTTGATTGCACAATTCATTTTACAGAAAACTGTTAAAATGAAAGAAAAACGTGAGAGGAACAATAATGGTATCATTTAAGGTCATACAATTTGCAACTATTCATGCCTATTTTTTGTAATTCTTTATTCAAAAATATTGCGCCAATGCTCAGCAGTTCGATAACTAAAACAGTGTTAATAAACAGTATTTTTTGTGCTAACATGGTATTTTTTATGTTTTTGACCGGTAACAGAAATTGAATATAATTTCAGTTCAATAAAAAAAAGGAAAGCCGTTGTAAGAAATTGGAAATTTTCAGTTTTTGTATCGCAATTATCCATTTATAGTGTTTGAATATCGACATTTCAAACATGGCTTAATAACCTAACAGAGTTTGTGAAGTTAACAGAATGCATGCTCTCTCTCTCTCTCTCTGCCTTGCTTCTTCTTTTTCTGTTAGTTTGCTGTTCGCTCTCCATTATCGTTTCACTTCTCGTAGCAGACGGTTGTGCGATTTGGTGCGCGTGTAGATGTGTAAGCATTAAACTAACTTGCTAATCGAAATCGAAATATATTTCAGTGCTTTGCGTTTCATATACCTATTCGTTGTCGTCGGCTTTTTACAATATTGAATAGAAACCCAAAAATAATGTGTATTTATGCAAGTACTAATACACACAAAATGCGCGAAGCAACAATAAAGTGATGTTAAAAGCATTTAAATACAAAAATCAACAGAAAAAATTCTGGAACAAAACGCATACGTCGTAGGTCGTAGTCGGTGTCGGTTGCGGTTGCGGTAGAACGAAATCGAGTTATTTTCATTTACAATTATCTAAATGCAACACTGTGAGCCAGCACTAACATTATGCTGTTGAAAAAGAAGCGATATATGTGCGAAGAGCAGGACGACACTATCGACGTCGTTGCTGTTGTCGAAGCAAGCAACAACAGAAACACCAACGCGAACAACAACAGCAGCAGTAGTTATGGATCCAACATGGCTGAAACACGCGAAGTCCGAATTGAAGAGCAATTAAAAGTGAAAATTGGTATGTAAATCTGTGCAAATCAATGAAATCTTCCGAACAATTACTAAACAAAGCCAATAAGTGCATAAACTAATTGCAATTTACACGCGTTTGATAGTTTGTCGATGTGAAAAGTGTATTGGAATGTGAGTGCGTCGCTATGAGGTGCCCAAGCAAACTTACAACAGTAAAATGAATAGCAGCTTTTTGAAAGAAAAATGTGCAGCAAAGAGAATAATGAATAAGTGATTCCAAAAATCAAATAAGTGCAATAAATTGCTTAGCAAAAACAAAATACAGTAACGAATGCTATTTTTTTGTTGGCTGAAAATGCATTATTGTGTATGAGTGTGAGGCAGCAGCGTGCGGTGCTGTTTTCGCGCACGGCACATTCGTATCATGCCATCTCGCTCTGGCATCACTCGCGTGTGTGTTTTTTGATGCAGCAAGCAACAAACGAACATTTTACATTGTGTTGTTACTGTTGCTGGCAAAGCCAACACGAAGCTAGTTCCGCTGTTTTGTCTACCAGCCGACACTGACTGGCTGTATGTTACGGCATCGCCCCCGCTGCCGCGTGCAGTTGCCCCTTTTTGTGAATGAATTTCGCTTGTGTTGTGTGTGAGTGTGAGTGACGACGCTACAGCTACAGCGCATGTGCCAACACACTTACAAAGGCTCACATGCATACACACACATACATATGCATATTGAGCGATGTGTGGGTTTTTTCATGAATGGAATTCGAATTCGGTGTACTTTTCTCTGGGGCTGCCGCCTACCACACGCACGCACACAAAGATACATGTCATATTACCAACACAAACGCAAATGATGTTTATGAATGATTATCAAGAGCAGCTGGATTGCGATATACGATGCTGATAACCTCGATTTTGCCATTTGATTGCACATCCAAGTCCCGATAATAAAACAAAGTTTCTTCTTTATATCGATTAAAGTTTCCGCCAATATAAAAAAAGGTCAACATTGTCACTGGTTCATGAATGGGGAAGAGTCGCATCTCTATACCTGAGTGTCTCTCTCTGTCACACATACTCTTTACCTCCCTATATCTTCCTGTCTGGTCATAATTGTAACCACTTCAGCATTTGCGACTAGAGGCGACAGATTCTCGTGCTTTTGTTGCGGTTATTTTGTGTACTTGACTGGTTTTACATTTCCTGTATCGCCTTTTTTGTCGCTCTTTTTGGTATCTTCGTCGTGTGAATAGAGAATTATGAAAGCAACAAAAAAATTCAAAAATAAAACCACAGCCACAACGTGAGACACAAACAACAACTACATAAAAAGGGTTACTTCTATTTGTGTGTGTGTGTGTGTGTGTGTGTGTGTTTGTTGTGTGGTGGCCTCATTTGCCTGCCGCCTGCCTGTGCTCGTCGCAGTCCGATCGCATTTCACACCTGCACGGAGCCCCAACGCTCTGCAAATAAACATATCTTGATACACATTTATTTATTTTTACCTCTTTTTCATATTACTTGTGGCGCGCTCTACCCGGTGCCGTGTTCGTCGCTTTACATTTTCATTTTCCACCCAAACAAATTCAATCTTTGCGCTTCGTCCATAAGAGGCTTTTGCTATGCTGCTCAGTTCCCCCCTTTTGCCTGCCCCTATCCCATGCCCTTGGGTTCATAAATTATATGCAAAGCTGCTGCAACAACAGCTAACATTGTAGCAGCTTTTGATTTCCGTTTCCCATCACATGAATTTCCTTTCTTGCGTGTGTGTGCACGGTTTCGGCTCGAGTTCTTTTGCCATAAGAGTTTTGCTTTTGCATTTGCTTTGCTCCCCTTTCCACGACTTTTTTGCTGCTGATATTTTTTCCTCTTTTTTGCATGCTTCAATTGTTTTCGCATGTGCTTGTGCTTGTGTCATTGTCGGCTTGAACTTTTTGCTGTCTGTCTTCTCCGTCCCTTTTGCCAGCCGTTTCCTTTCTGCTGCTGCTTGCACCACAAACTCTCAGCTGTCTTTTTCTCCTTTCTGCTTTCGACATTATTCTGCTACCTCAGCAGCTTTTCTGCTGTTTATTATCTTATACTAAAGTCACTAAAGTCGGCGGTTGACGTTTTTGATGAAGTACTGAAAGAAATTTTGCGACAAATATTATATAAATATGAGATATGAAAGGTGAGATTTTTTACACTTAGAACTATAAACATAAATGTACTTACATATGTAATCATATATAGAGGAAGGGGAGGAGCAGGTCAGCTATAAAACACTTGTTGCATCAAACCGATATATAATTATTATCTTAAATTGTATTAAATTAAAACTCCCATTTAAAGTAGTCATGCAATTGTCAGCTGATAATTTAAAATTTGCTTTTATTATGGATTTAACTGAAAAGCGATCGTACCATATAATTACAGTTCAACAGCATAGAGTAAATTAGGGTCACATTGTGACAGAATATTTCTTCTTATAATATGAGCACCGTTACACACCTAATGCAAGTTGAACGTTCCCTTCTTTCCGTTCCATCCATCCGTTCGTTCTTCGTATGCCCGCTTGTCTGGCTCTGTCTTAGCATATTTTTCTTCTCTCAAGTTTCATATTTCCACTTCATTATGCTTTGCATGCTTAATAATACTTCCACTTCGTGCTCAGTTTCAATTACACAAAGTTTCGCTTTTGTTTGTTGCTGGAGCTTTCCATTTTGTTGGCTGTTGCGATTTCTACACCACATCGCGCCAGCACTGACCGAAATTGGCGTAATACTTTTTCCACTTAATTAAAATGTTTAGCGCATAACCTAAATTTCGTTTTTCATGCGATCGCACATGTAAGCACTCTCTCCCCTCCTCATCCACCTATTGAACATTTAGATGCAAAGTTGCAAAGTTGCAGTTTTTTGTCTATAGAGGGCGCATGCAACGCAGCTGCCAGTGACTCATAACTGACTCATTTAACGGGGATGCTAGAGACAAGATACAATCCACGAGACAAGCGCAGCTATGCAATTTATGCTGAAATATTGATGACAATTTACATGACGCGACGCGACGCCCAGCTGACAACTCAGTTGGTGCTGGAAGTGGAGGAGGCGCTGGTGGGCAGGGCTGTGGTATGTGTTGGATTAACATGGGCCACACACGCACTGTGGATTCTGTTGAACTTGAAAAGTCTAACAAGTAGCTGACAGTTTGTTGTAACAGGCATAAATGAGCACGCATGCACGTGTGTGTGTGTAAGTGCGTGTGTGTGTGAGTATGTGTACAACAAGAAATAGTTTTGCCTAAAAAGGCAATTAATTAAAAGCCGGTTGGTTGTTGTTGGGGTCCGAGCAGCAAATCCCAAACTGGTTGCCAACAACCACTTGAACCACTGAGGAGAGAATTGTCCGACTGCCTGGGACTAAGTATTCTAGTCTCTGCTCTGATCTCTGTTGATCTTCGCTGCTTTGTTGACAATTAGTGTGCCTTGTCGTTTGTCGTGTTCCTTTTGTCTTTGTCGGTTGCTTTATTCCCTCTTTTTTCGTTGTTTAATCATTTTTCTAATACATATTTTTGCCTTTATAAGCTGTGTTCGCTTGGCCAAAGAACAATTAAAATGAAATTTTTTCATTAGAAAAACTCTTGAATGTTTAAGTCATGTGCTGTGGTCATATTTAAATACAATCTGGCACTGTTATCTTTTGCTTGGTATCTAAATGAAATGAATTACACTTAAAGTGCTCCAGAGATAAGTAACTTAGTAAATTTAAAAACATGAAGTAAATGTTTTTGGTGATGAGCAAAACTTGACAAAGTCACTGTTAATTGGGAGCTCTAGTTAGTATGTCATCACTAGAATCATTTCATTCATGTTACACCGATGTATATCGATCGATAACTATGGCATAATTGCCTTAGTTCATTTTCCAATTTGCGCCTTTTGGATGATTTATCGAAATGAATTGCAGCATACGTATTTAGAGTGAAGTTATAAAGTTATTTCCATTTTAAATACTTAAAAGTAAATCACATTCTTTAAATATTTAACTAACAGTCGCGATCGCATTTAGCAGTAATTAATTGCAATACTCTTTGTTAGGGAAGTGTCAAGTGTGACCAGCTGCATTGCTTCAGAATTGTTGTTAGCAAAACTTTCAGAATTGCTGCTGCTGCTGTTGTCCTTGTTGCCATTGCTGTTGCTGTTGTACTTGTACTTCCAAAGAACAACAACTGCGTGTAATTAGCGCGTTACTAAAATACTTTTTATTCAGGTCGCCAAGCTATGCACTTTTGTGGCAATGTTGTTCAACTTGTTGCTGCGTCGATTAGCTGCTGCAACAGCTGACAACGTCAACGACTTGAATGCGGCAGCAGCTCATCATGAGATGAGGTTGCAACTGTCGACACAGCTTGAGTGATGAACATTTGTCTTTTACTTTCTTACCCTACAATTGTAATAATAATAGTGGTAATAGTAATGCATTCACCGAGAGTTTAACCCGCTCTCGCTCTGAGTCATTCCCTCTCCTTCCGGCTGCCGTCTTTTATGACTTAACGCTTGACCTCGCCTCGCGTCACTTTGATGTGCTTTGACTTTGCTTGGGGTCAGCCCCGGGTTGATTGTCTTTGGGCTCCGCTCTGCACCCTAAGCACCAAGGCTTTGAACTTCACGCTGGGCTGGCACTTCTTTTTTTTATTTTACCAACCGACATTAATATATAAAAATTAACTCGTGTAATTTGTAATTAAAACTTCAAGTTTGCCTTTATGACGTTCGCTAACCATAACATAAATATAAATTTAATGCTCTCATTTATGTGCGCTTCGGTTGTTGCAAGTGTCGTTTCCGAGGTAGTGTGGGTCTATAGCATGAAAAGCAATAAAGGTAGCTCGGGTCGGAAGTGTCATGGTTATACGGATTTTTACAGCTTTACGATTAGCTCTACTATTCGAGGCGAATTTTTCGAAAGCACTTCAGTTCTATAAAGATCTTAGTAGAATGAAAATATGTAATATGCATATCTAATTTATATAATTAGAGATAGTAAATAATATTTATGT